GGGTTACCCAGCGGGGCGCGCTCCCTTACCTCTAACCCCCCTCGTTTCCGAGTGGTCGGGGCGAAGGTAGTTATACCACACATACAATCAAGTACAATGGATTGTATGGTCGAGACGCAGATGCTGTGCGTTATGTGGGGCAAGCCTTGTAAAGTCGCGACATAGACACCCGGGTCGAGCCTGAAGAGGAGTCCGAGAGATGGACTACGAAGACCCGACCCGCGGAGAGTGACTTCATCTTGATTAAGGTGTTTTGCAGCGTCCTGGAAATCTCGGATTCGACGCGACCGAGAGCCGGTCCTCTCAAAGAGGAGGCTGTTGCGGACTAAAAGATCCCAGTACTTGACGGCAAGGTTCGGGGACCCAAATAGTTGCAGTCCGTTGCAGACGGCTGCGGAGATGCACATGTCACTATTATCTCGGAACCGCACGGTCCCGTGTGTGGAAACGGGGTAGATCGGAGTCCGAGGATTGACCGCCCTGGAACGACCATGGATCATCTTCAGATTCCTACCCTTTTGATCGGTGCAAAAACGGTCAATACTTAAGAAGCCACTATTTCGATCTCTCCCACCAAACTGGAAGAGATCATCAACAATCTTGTGAGTTGTACTATTCCCGGTTCGGGAAATTGCTAGAATGTAGAGCAAAATGCAGTGAGGAAGGTTGGTTGCGGCGTCGACGCCATATTACGTGTTGTCAACGTCGAGATAGATGGACTCAATATTCCACTCACCGTCGCCTATAATACAGTATTGGTTTGTGTCCGACAACGACTCTGTGATACCAAGACGCCATATCTATTCGAGAGAAACCTCTTCATCTTGCTTGCGGTGGAGCAGGGCGGTAATATGATCTCCTAGATGGCTTTGAACTCTTGTTCTGTTACGGCGTAACGGCGATGCCCGCTGGCCACCCAAATGTGGAATATGGAGCCCGTCTTGGAAACCTTGGTTATATCTGTTCGAGATGGGAGCTCGAATATTAAGTGGCTGCGGCTGGAGACGCGTGCAGCTTTCAGAGCGAGCTGCTTCCGCGGACGCTTACCTCCCGTGCTCTTCGCCGCTGTCTGCTTGGTCCTCGCCATCGTATTACGCTATGAGGGGGGCTAAAGAGGGCATGCGGGGACTGAAATCTCACCTGCGTGCCTCTCGATTTGGTGGGCAACTGGAGGTCTAAGCTACGACAAGGACCAAGGAGGCAAGGTGGAAGAGCCGCGAGAGCTAAACAGCGCAGGAAGCAGGAGGCCGGAAGAGCTAAAACGAGGCTGGCATGGAGCGAGAAAGGCGAGCGGAAAGTGACGGCAGATACCACCAGAAGGGAAGGGGGGTCCGAGCCCCAGGTCTGTGTTGATATAGGCTGGAGGGTGAAGAAAAATCAAAATCAAAGGCAAAGTCTGAGTGGCCGGGGCCCGTGGCCCCGCCTCAGTGGGGGCTTGTGTGACACGTGGTTGGGACCGGTGTAAGTAGTTGGAAGTTTAAGTTAGAAATTGTAGACCGTGCGCAAAAAGAGTATAAATGCGGTGGTTTTCGGTCGTCCTGTACGGCCAAGGGAAGACACATGACAGAAAACACACACGGGTAAGACACGGGGACGACGCATCCCGTTTTCACCCCAACAGGTACAGCACTAAAAACAGTACCTACGGGGTGCGCTGTGGCCTGTTGTGGTGGCACCAGGACAGCGGACCCACTGCTGCCTGAAATACATGCGTGACCCTCCATAAAACGTAACTTCCGCCGTCCATAAAAGTACTGTACATGCTGAAGCAAGAATGTACTCGAAAAGATGCCGTAATTCAAATGGAGTCAACCCTCACAGGCACGATAAAACTACACTACCAACAGATAGGAAAAGATTAGAGATTAGATTATGAGGCAGCCAAATACGGGCCCGATCTACAGCACTGTGTCGGGGGCTCTGATGCAGGGCCCGAGGAGAGCGGATCAGGCTGGAGGAATTGCTGCAGTATCTGGTCTGGATCGTAAAATCATTATCCAAAATTCTTCGTGCAGTATAGGCTACACACGAGCTTGCCAGCTCATTTTTTCTTGCTCCGAGAGAAGGGGAAATAGGAAAAGCTGCCCCAACATTCCAATTCTTCCCGGTCGGTCCAAACAATTTTGCCGAAGACGCACTCGCACAAATCCTGAAAACAGATTTCTTTGCTACAAGACAGAATCTCCGAAACCAAGTTTGTAGTTTAAAATGTCAATGAAGAATCGACCCCGGGATGGTTTCTTAGGCTCACTATGGCTATTTTATGGGAGATGATTCGCGTGCACTTGAAACGCGGCAACATCATTTACCTTCGAAGTTTCAGAATTAATTCGTGCCTTCTCGCATCTGAAAAGCTCTCCTCATATGTCGAAAACGGGTGTTGATAATTTGACAAGAAGAGCCAGTGCGGATGCGACAAGTACGCCACAAGAATAGAATGTCCAACGAAGACCCGTTATGTTGTGGCACTTTTCCATGATTTTTGACGAGGTTTTTAGTGTATGCCGCAGACGTTGTCTCCCGGGTGCATTTGACATTCGTGGAGGACATAGATGTATGTCAGAAAACGTTCTGGCGGCACTGAAAGCAGATACAATTGGACAACATGGCCGTATCTGACATGGGACGATGTCTGCACGAGCGTGCAGACACAGGGCTCTGTCTGCACTACCGTGCAAAACCATGATGTTGGTATCAAAGCTGGCTAGTTCATGGCCGCAGACACGCACTTTTAACCCTTATGAAAGCACCTAACGGTAATGATTGTGAACGTTAACAGTAAAATGGCCACCGGAAATCGACTTAACATCGGACAACAACTGCAGTTGCCCACTACTGCTACCAACCAGTCGTTCTTCATTCTCATTTTCCTTTCCATCTAAACCACTATCCCATTCGCTCTTGGCGCCATCATCAACCGCCGTTTCTGATTTATCATTAGCGGAAATAGGAACAGTTCCCTTCGTATTGAGGTTTTGATCCTGAAACACCATTCTACCTTTTTTCTCCTTCGGTTCTAGCTTGTGAAAATTTTTAATACCTACGCTATCCCGTTTACCGGAAAAGCGTAGAATGTCATCCTGCTGCTTTTCTTCTGCTCCGCCCTCTAGGTTCTGATAATTTTTTAGAGACCGTAAATCGCGATGTCCAGTACGCATTGCGACGGACGAGTCAGCATGCCCAGCATCAATTAACAAAGTAGCAACCGTTCCACACAGCCCATGTGTCGTCATTCCACCTTGAGACCCTGTCCCTGTAATTCCCTCTTTCTCACAGATAGACTTAACAATGCGCGAGAAGGTGTTTCGTCCTAGGTGCTGCCGTCTGAAGAAGTCACCGAACTTGGCGGCTTTTTGGTTGGCACCGAGAAAAAAGCGGTCAGTACCACAATCCATTGCCATTCTCACCAACATGACAGCACTGATATCCTCAAAAATATTCAAATTTCCATCTAAAGAAGGACGATTCCAAACGCAAATTTCTGTCGCCTTTTCACGCACTGTGTTCCATCCACCAGCATTCGTCTTTGAAGCTCCAATTCTATTTCCCACTGCAGCTCTTATTTTCCAAACTTCCTCCCCGCGGAGCTTCATTTTGGTAAATTGGCTGACGGTTAGGTTAACCAATGCGGTTGGTCGTATTGCAGTGATGAGGGCAATGTCGAAGATGAGCCTGGCCTGGAAGCCGAGTGGGTTGTCACGTGACAAAAACGGAGAATTGTACAGCCGTTTGAGATCGTCGCTGGGTAGGACGTTGTGGCTCTTAGAAAACACTCCGTTGGACTGCTGGAAACTGAATTTGTTATCGATCACGGCCATCAAACCATCCCTTGAGCAGTTAAAAATATGCCCTTCAAGTAACTTGACGTGGTAGCCCCAATCTCTCGAAAACGATCGCTGGATGCCTATAATGTAGCCCTTCATAGTGCTTGGCTTGACTTCGCTTTCCGACTTGGTGCTCTTGTAGTTGACCACGAACTCTATTAAGTGATATCGAATCTGTTTGAGTTGATCAACAGTCCAGTTAACATAGTCGCGGGGGGGATATTTCCCTTCCCCATCTCCAAAAAGTACCTTTTTAGTCTCTGACAGCTCCCATGCGACACGACGGTCTTTTTCGCTAAATATATAGGACCGAAGGTGCTCCTCTGTTCGGATTGCATTATCAATAAATCCTGGTACAGAAGTGACGAATCGCGCGAAAGCGTGAAGGGCGGTAGAGTTAGCACGAAGGGTGTTCAGTGGAATTCTTACTCCCATAAACAGTTGAGCTGCGCGAGAATGGGGTGAATCGAGAGGACGGTCCTGGGCGGTCACGGTGTTTTCCGGATCATTGGCAGGTCCTGAAGAATTGGATCTGTTGTGGGGCGGGGTTTGAGGAACAAGCACCAGAGCCGAAGTGAGAGGATCGTCCACATTTGGTGGTGGGGTTCCTGGAACAAAGTCCATTTTGGTGGGTGTTGCCGTGGTAGTGGATCGGAGAAAGCTGCGATCAAGGGCAGTCTGAAATGGTGATGGCTCGTGGTCCCCACCACCGTCGTCCAATATTTTAATTTCCCTTTCCCAGCCTCGACGGTATCGATATGGCATATTTTGAATTACTTTTAGGCGGTTCTATCAAAAACAGAAACGATTTCGCGACATGGATGTCAAAACGCAGCCGGGAAGACAAACAGGTTGTCTCCCGTAGCTCTCGGGCTGACACCGGCTCTCGGGGTATGACATTCTCCCTCGGCAAGCCTCGGGTGATTGTCATACCCTCGAGCCTTGTGTCATCCCTTGCAGCCGGGAGACAACCCACACTTGTCCACCCACTACTGTACACGTGTATGCGTGAAATCTACCGTAAAGTAGTTTATCGGTTACGATATGCCTCTATGATACACTGTGATAAAGTGTTTTCAAACAGTACAGTTGGCGCCACGCACAATTCAGAGTCTTTTCCAGAAAAAAATCTACACTGGACAAGAAACCCAAACTGCAACCCCCCCCGCTGGCCGCATGACAGTACGGCCCTGCACTTGCTCCGCATCGCTACGTAGCACCATTCACCACCCCCACTGCTCGATCGATCCAGCCCAGAGCGTGCCCTTCACGCGTTGCACACATCAGTTCGCCACCGGACCTCCCGTCGACCTCCTCCGCCAGCTACACCTGCCTCACCACCGAAACTTGCCCCGTCCCGTCGCCACCCCGCGATGTGAATTCGCCCCTGTCAGCCACCTCCGCGATTCCCTCTCCCAGTCTGCAACTGCAATGACCAACCTCGCCTCCGAGGGCGACCAACACCCACCGCTCGACCTCGCACGTATCACCCGCGCCTGGCGAGCCTTCAGAGCCTACCGCCGCCTCTCGCTCCAAGTCTTCGATTCACAAGCACTGGCCTTCGAACATCTCCCCGAAGACGCCAAGACCCTCATCCCTGACGTCCCGATCCGACTCTCCCATGCCGCAGAGGCTATCGAGCACAACGCCGATGTCATCGAGCGCATCGCCGCCCTCGCTGGCATTACAAAACCCTTCCAACTTGACGCGCTTGACCCCGACGATCTCGCACAGACCGTCGCTGACTTTCCGGATGTTGTCGATGGACTCATTGCTATCACACGTGACTGGTCGGCCGTGTCCGAGAAAGATCGCTCGCTCTCATATGATCACATCCTTCGCGCAATTGAGAAAGCTGCGGATGAGGCTGTTTCTGCCGGTACTCTGGAAAGTCGAGACACTTTTTCTGTCCTCGTTCCCGGGGCCTCCTTGGGACGTCTCGCATGGGAGATTGCTAATCGCGGCTTTGTCGTCCAAGGTGTAGAGAGTTCATACTTGCAGCTGTTTATGTGCAATTACATCATGAATGGCTCCGCTACCCCGGAAGCGCCCTTGCATTTGTATCCATACGCCCATCACACCGGAATGGCACCTTCTGTTAATGACCAATGCAAAGAGGTGGAATTTCCGGATACCAACCCGCGTCAGCTGCAGAATCCAAACTTCTCCATGGTCGCCGGCGAGTTTCTTGAGTTGTACAACAAGGAAGACGCCTGGGACTGCGTCGCAACCTGCTTCTTTGTTGAAAACTCGCACAGCATTGTTTCATATGTGCGACGTATTGCAACGATTTTGAAATCAGGTGGTGTTTGGATCAACCATGGAAGTCTGGACTTTCGATTTGACGACTCAGAGACAGAGCCGAGCGTGGAGGTTACCGCAGAAGAATTGGAGTTGGTCATCCAGCGTGCGGGCATGCGTATCATTAGAAAAGAGATGCTCATCTGCAAACCTCCATTCGCAGTTAGTGGGATGATCAATGAGGAGTATAAGAGCATTTTTACAGTCGCCACTCGCATTTAGGACGACGGAAGCGACTGAGAGTCGGACGCACCCCTACGAAGCAGGAGATTTGCAAATTTTTACTAGCTTGCGCGGCTTTCGGTATCCAACGCAGAACCTTGGAAGGTACACTGCGTTGCAGAAACAAGAATCGTTAGATAGGATTTAACTGGCATTAGCAGAGCCGATCGTGGCTATTCGAGAGGTAAATTCATCAAATCGGGTAGCAAGTCAATGTTTGCAGCTCGATTATTTTTCATTTGTGCAACTCAAAAGAATTGACAGCTACTGTATGTAGCGAAGCACAGACGCAGGCCTGCCGCGCCGTCACTGTGAGCGGAGGTCGTGTACCGGCTTCCACGACCCAGATGACCTCGTTCCTTGGGACGACTCTCATTCAGCCGTCTAAGACCTCCTGTCTAAGACCTGAAGGTCACATCCTTTTTGATCTACTGATTAATGAACGTATTTTTACTATATATTCCTATGCCACATCCTCCAGACGCGTTGATTTCTATGCATTTTCAAAACAATAGTTATGGCCTTCTTTCGCCTTTGGGCTTTCTAGCATACACATTGCCAGGAGCATAGCACCTTTCGCGCATTTCCCTTCTTAATCAAGGGCTAGGCTGTGGCAAATCCACGAGCGAAACGAATACAGCTTCCTCGCCGCAATTGCATTAACGTCGCCCTGCAACCTCTCTTAACCGCAGGATGGAGGAAGAGGACGTCGCTCTGTACGAGACGCTTGGCCTGGATCCAGATGCTACTGACGTCCTGACATTGACGGACCGCGATATATCGCGCGCCTATCGAAAAGCGGCGCTGAAATGGCATCCCGACAAGAACCAAGGTGACGCGCAAGCTGCAACCAAGTTTTCGGAGGTCTTTAGTGCCTACGAAACGCTTACCTCCCCACCAGAACGCGCCAAGATTGACGCCGCTATCAGAGCTGTTCGCAGTCGCCGCGAGCGCTTCCAAAAACTCGACGAAAGTCGAAAGCAGCTTAAGAGTGAACTGTATCGTAGGGAGGCTGAAGCTAATGCTACCGCAAAGCAAAAAGTCAATTTGAATAATGCCGCCCTTAAGCGAATGCAGAGGGAGATTGAGCGTTTGAGGCAGGAGGCGTTAAGACCAGACGCGATGGCTAAGCCACACCCCGCCAGAAAACCGAGGTACAAGCCCGAAAGCAGCAGCAGTGCCGGAGAGTGGGCAAACGTAGTCGGCTATGAAGAATTCCGTTCTCCTTCGTCAAGCGGAAATAATATTGACTTCGACATTTTTGAACAGGCTGTCTTGTCGGGAACAAATCCGTAGTTGCAAAATCATTATTTTGCAACAGAGTTGTTTTGTTTCTACCTTCGTACGCTACAGTACACCTGTGCAAAGCATACGAAAACCGATTAGCTTCACTTCGAGCCGAAAACTTTTTGTCGAGCGCCGAAACAGTTATGCATCCTGACGGCTCAGTCGTCTTCTAATGTCGGCACACTGTTTGCATTTTTGGCGCTTCGGCTTGCGGTAAGCGGCGTTACTCTGCAATTCAACCCTGTTCACGTTTCCTCATGCGAAAACTATGGTTAATTCTCTCGTTGGTTTCGAAGAAGAGCAAGCAATAGCGTCATTGCTTCTCAACTGCCTTGCGCAGGGTCTAGATCCTGAAGAGTGTACCTTTCATCTGGAGCGCAATGTGGTGGATTTCTTTCAGGTTCGTGACCGCAGACCAAGTCACGCAATCTCTCCTGTTGTCTTGGAAGCAATTGCGACGCTAGCGACAACTCATCCTGCGTCGAAGCCTCGCACCCTTTCCTGTTTATTAGTGCTTGGAGCAGCTTCCGTTTCGTCTTGGAACTCTATCACAACATCGAAGATTTTCGATATGCATCCGGAGCTGTTCCAGCTACTCTCATCGTTCATCGCAGGTAGCAACCCGCTCTTTCAGTTCTTATCAGGCGAGATTAAACAAACCATATCATCCGCTTTCATTGATCTATCGAAGTACGGCACACATGCAGAGTTTGGCCGCTTAAAAACGCTCCCATCCACCCCAGTGTCGCTTGCTATATCTGAATTTGCGAGAAACGTGAATAGTCACAACTCTGTACTAACTGACGTTCTGCAGTGTTTACCCTTTGACACGTTAGAGTCTATTCCGGATGACAACTGGGTTCAGGTTTTGGACCTTGCTCTGGAGCACAACATCAACACAAAATGGGTGAAACTTCGAAGTATGCTTGGTTTATCGCGAAATACCGCAGCGAGAGCTGAATTGCTGCGGATCATACGGAAACATCCAGAAAGTGGAATCTCACATCACGTGGGATGGTGCAATTTAGTCGCACTGCGTGAATTCGCGCCCCTTTCCATTGAAAAGATTTTCTCTTCGCTAAAAGACATTGATACCATTGAAAAGGCTTATCAACTTGTGAGAAGGAATCGTTTAGATGGAGATGAGAAAAGTGTGAAAACTGCGGCGTCTATTTGGATGACTGAGAAAAATCACCATCTCGTTGCATCTGCTTATATAGCAGCGCCGTCGGCGCTAATCAATTTAGCGAGCAACAGTAACGATGTGTTCCTTGCTCTCAAGGATATCCCCGAAACATTTTGCTCACCGATTGATGTGGTCATGGATGGTCATTTGCTTGATCTTTTGTCAACCGTACCAGAGTTTTCTCGCCTCTTACGTCGCAAAAGGGCGCAAGGCGAGAAGAGCTCCCTGCTAGGACTGAAGCGCATCGCAATGATTCATCCATACCTGTTTGCTCGTCGATTACCATGCCTTCTTAGTTCGGGTCGAACTGTGTTGTATGGGTTGAGCAATCCCGCAGCGCGATACGAAGAGGTATGCCTATGCATGCTGGAGATAGTGCTTGAGACTATTTGCAGCTTGCCATTAATGTGTGTTGATACGACTGAAGTCGAAAAATTCATTGTTGAAACAATGGAATTCGTACTGGAAGAGAACCGTGCGGTCAACGGTGTGCCAGATATGTTTTTGGCCTTGGTCCTGGTTACCTTCAAGGCAGTAAGCTTCCTGGCCGGTATGATGAAGAGTACTCGAGTTTGTGACTTGATCAAAAAAGTTGTATTAGGACAAGGCACAAGCGAGCGTATAAGGGAGGCAGCAGAGGTTTGTTTAAAATGTACTGATATTTGAGTCCGCCTATACAGAGTTTGTATTATTCTCTTATACAGCACCGCTTGTCTTTGATGCACAGTACTGAACTCACCTCCTAAGCTTCACAAGAGAGGGTGCAACGTGAACAGCTTTTCTGACCTCGTCGGACCATCGATCCTCGATAGTGTAATGATGATACTTTCAAGTGCTAACGATAGCTAAGCTAGGATGCCTACTTGTTTCAGTGCACAATAATGCCCTCTGTTATGCGAGGGGCGGGCGAGACTTGAAGCCTCTATCAAATCGATTGTTTCTCCCTTGCTCTGATGCAAAAAGTAGTTGATAGTATTGTAGTCTTCCTGTCGTGATGTACGGCTATAGAAACAAAGAAACGTCATGTCCGAACAAGAAAACTGTCAAAAGCGTTGTGTGTGTTGGTGCCCTATCAACGTTTCATCTTTCATACGATGCCAGACGAAGGGGATGGATGTCGTATTGGCTATTGACACGAAAAACATTCTAGTGCTGTGGGAAGCATTGATGAGGAGGGAAATAGCTCTCAAACCATAGCTTTTCCCGAAATGGTCCCGGCGATCTGTCCAAACTTGTTTAAACCTCAGACCTAGTACTAGTGTGAAATTATAACTGCAGTAGCTGAATGACATTTACCAAAGATTAAGTTTAGATTTCCGCTTCGGAATCTTTATAATACCTTTGCTAATGCGTATATCGACAAGGGCCATAAATCCAATGGGCTCCACATCGATGATTGCCAGGAGAGTGGAAAACTGGAGTAGCGATCTCCAGGCCTTCCCACCAACAAACTGTCCATTCGCAAATACCAAGGAGCACGCACATGTATACTGTGACAACCGCTCTCATCAAATATAGCTCTAGAAAGATGACGCACAAAGCCCCGTCGCATTTGTCGGAAGTTTTGAGAACATGAGAAGCTCAATTCTCTGAGCACAGCTACAACTCCATATGCTTTTAAATAGTATTCCCCCTGTCGCCGCACCTCGAACAATCGAAAACATCAAAAGTGTCCATGGAATTGAAAAGTCCTCGATCAGCAGCTTGCCTGCCCCAGTACATTTCAAATTTAAACATCGTCATTGGGGCCTGAAAAGGCCTCTTTGAGCCAACAACAATTATTGTCTGTGACTTGTGTTTTGCTTTGGAAGGCTTATTCTACTTTCTCTTAGGAGTTCTCCAAGTAGTGATTGAAACTGTATCCTAACCCTGTACTACTATTTAGAGCTGAATTCATATCTATATTCACCCAAAGACACGACTGCTATTTCTTTCTCTTCCCCAATTGTTAAGGGGGCTTTTGCGACTTAACTTCTAGCGTTACTGACGCTGATTTCAAGAATGCAACTCTGTCAAACTGACAGATTCTAGCGACCCAGTCCTGTTCGTCTGTTGGACCGTTGATCTCATTGCTTATTTATCTTCCATTTCTTATTGGCTTTTGTGACTGTTTCATACATCACATAGATCCTCTGCAGATCCCGAGCCGTCATATCTAGAACTCATGGACAGGCGCAGCATTCCGATGCCAAGATTCTCCGAACCACCTTTCGTCTATCTACTGTTGGATTCTTCAACACAAGAACAGTTTTTACAATACGTAAACCACAAAAGGAACAACGATCGCAACTTGGGATCTCCGAAGAGAGTTTCAGGAGTCAAGAGGCAGCTATAGAAGCAAGGAAGTTGAATGTGCTATTCACGCAAGCAAGGAAAATATTTTCTTGGCGTAATGTGCATGAAACGCCAGTTGTATCATGTCATGGAGGGTGGAACTGGCCGCAGTGCAGATATATATGGTGTCCTGAAGTGCAGTTGATTTGAAAATGGAGAAAACAGTGCTTGAGAACCGTACCAGTTTCTTTTCCCAGGAATTGAATGAGAATCACTGTTCATAGGAAGCTCAACGGCCGACAAGACCTGAGGAGTGGTGTGTCATTTTTTTGATCTCGACGAGGGTTGCGTGATTGCTTTGGAGGAATTTTGAACTGAGAGAACAGAGGCCATGCAACTCGGAGTGAGGTTGTGTCCACACGACCTACGGAGAAAAAACTGTCTCGATCGGAATAGTCTAAAGAAGGGTACTGAAGCCCACTCAACCGAATGCTATCACTCGGAGGAGGGGCTTTGAACATGTAACCTTTTAGAGATACAGACTGATTAGCTTTCGGCATGGATAGTCGTTTCATGTAAGATGTAAGTAACCCCTAGTGGTTTTAAGAGGCTTTGTTGTTATGCTGTGATATGAAAGCCCCGGCTCTATGCAGACGCGGAAGTAGTACGAAACCGAGCTCATCCTTCTATGTGTATTTGAGACACTAAGTTGACGTCTTATAAAGTAATGCAGATGCGGCGGAGCCCTTATCCTCTGTTCCGAAAGCTGAAACCTGTGTTCATTGCGCCAATTCTTCAAGAGACCACTTGATTGCCACGGAAAGTGTTTCGAGATTTGAGAATCAAGAAGATATCATCTGAATGTCCAGCAAGCAATACCATACAAGAAAACGTAACTCACAAGCGCGGACGAGTAGAAAACGGCATATAACGAGTATGTGTGAAGATTGAATGGGGTGGCCTTCTATTGCATGGGCGGAAGGCAGTTTATTTAGTAATCGCATCGTTTGATCCGACACACTAGCTTGTGCCATTCTTAATTAGAGCAAAATCGGAAAGGATTACTGTTCAATAGAAGCGTGCAGTGCCAAAACATCGGAGAAAGGATGTGCGATATCTTGCATCGCGAACAACGACTCTGAGATTAGAATGTTGGCTTGCGTCGTTCTCGTCTTGGAATAGTTGTTGGATGAACGAGACTCCCATGAAGGACTGGCAAGAATATGAAAAATATTCTGAGTGCCCTCTTGAGAGCAAGAAGATAGACCAGCACAGTAGCGCAAGGCAGCTCGCTACAAGGGTTGGCCACACTTGGCGCAAAAAGGCAACATGTTCGTGTTTCGCGGCAAAACGCAACTGCATAAAATGATAAAAATATAGGATTTTAACTTCGTTTGAACATGAACATGCGCTATTGCATGGGCGCCCCGCTCTGCTTCCTGTTGGCGAAGCAGTCCGTATGCACCGGCTATCAACACCCGCATAGGCAACTTCCAAACTTTTCTGCAGAGCCCTCCGAATCCTTTGCAGCGTATCTCCTCAGTTTCCGAACAGTGATAAGAACGTGATTTTCAGCTTTGCATTTCTTGCAGAGTCAATCTTGTCCAGGGAACAAGATACACCGGCGAGGTATTGAAAGTCTTGAAAGAGATGGGCGCAGAGGCTTCTTGAGCTATTGAGATAGTATCTGGGAGATGCGCCCTGGAACAGGTCTAGCGCATTTTTACTAATGGATGTCGAGGAGTTGTACGACGAGTTTGGGAACTACATTGGCCCAGAGGAATCAGAATCGGATAGCGGGTCGCTTCAGTTACCCGAGCGTCACTCGGAACCAACCACCACTGCAGGTGTCCAAGCGGATACCAGCAGCCCAGTGAAGGCACCTGGCACAGGCCTAGAACGTTTGAATCAAAATTCCACAGGTGGGGGAGAGAATGGCGATTCTAACGCGATTGTACTGGCGGAGGACAAGCAGTACTACCCATCTGCCGAGGAAGTTTTCGGTCCGGACACTGAAGTTCTAATCGAAGAGGAAGACGCGCAGCCCATTTCAGAGCCGATCATAGCCCCGATAGTTGAACCGTCATCGGGATTGCACGAAAGCAAAGAATCTATCCCACCGGCAAAGTACAGTCGAGCCTACCTCACAAATGCAGTGCTCCCAAATTGCAGCCGAGTACGAAATATTGCCGTTGTTGGGCATTTGCATCATGGAAAGACAGCGTTCGCAGACATGCTGTTTGAGGCCACACATGAAATGCCATGGGGGAAACTGGATGACCGCAGCCTACCAGTGCGCTATATGGATACAAGAAGAGATGAACAGTCGCTTGCTATCTCAATCAAAACCACATTGTCTACTTTTCTGCTTCAGAACTTCAAGGAGAAGTCATATGCATTTAACGTCGTAGATACACCGGGGCATGTGAATTTTTTGGACGAAGCCATTGCCGGCATGACAATGGTTGATGGAGTTGTAGTCGTAGTTGATGTTGCGGAAGGTATCATGATGGGTGCCGAAATTTTGATGAAGAAAGCAGCTGTTTTGAAGCTTGACATCGTTCTCATAATATCGAAACTCGATCGCCTCCCTCTTGAACTTCGACTTCCTCCAGCCCACGCGTACCACAAGATTCGTCATATAATCGACTGTGCAAATGATATCATCGAACCGTATGGGCTTCCCGAATTGTCACCCGCTGCTGGGAACGTGGCTTTTGCTTCGTCGGTGGAGCGCGTTTGTTTCACATTGGAACAGTATGCTCAGACATACATAGCTGCTAATGGTGGCTCTTCCCGGTTTCCGCTTTTGCCATCACAGTTAGCAACGCGGTTCTGGGGCGATAAGTATTATGATAAGGGCAAGCGAAGGTTTACGGACAAAAACCCGGGAGGTGACGTGAGGCGAAGTTTCGTTGAGTTTGTTCTGGAACCATTTTACAAGCTCCACACTGCTGTTGTGTCGTCAGACGCTGACGATCTTGCAGATTTTCTAAATCGCAATTCGTTAATTGGGGACGAAAAGGGGTTTGCCACTGGGAAATGCCTCGGTTCAGCTCGAAACAAACGGCTAGATGTGAATAAGAAACCACTACTTAAGTCAATAGTTGGCAGTGCGTTTGGCTGGGGAAATATGGCTGGGTTTGTTGAAATGGTTACTCAGCACATCAGTTCACCAGAGCAGACTGGGATTCGCAAGATAGACGTCATGAGTCGCAGTGCGGATTTGGACATGGGTGAGGCAACTGTCGGAAAGAAGGATTGGGTCGGCGCAATAGAGGACTGCCTTTCGTCACCATCAGCTCCTCTGACAGCTTATGTGGGAAAGCTAGTACCCGATGAGAAAGGACACCATTTTGACTGCATGCTGCGTGTTTTGAGTGGGACTCTGCGAGTCGGACAGAAGGTGCGGGTGCTCGGAGACACCTACGATAAAACCGAGAACGCGGAAGACCAAGCAGTTGCAGTTGTCACCGCCGTGTTCATCTCTTGTGCACGGTTCAAGATTGAAGTTAATGATGCAAAAGCTGGGCAATTGGTCCTTGTACGAGGTATTGACCAAACTGTCTTCACATCGGCAACAGTTGTCTCTGCAAGCGATTCAGAGTGTCAAGAGGCATATGCATTACGATCGTTACGAGACTTTCTTCCGGCGGCTTCCACAAAAGTTGCGATAGAACCTTTGCGTCCCTCAGATCTACCGAAAATGGTGGCCTCGCTTCAACAGTGCGTGAAATCATTCCCAGGTTTAGTATCCAAGGTCGAGGAAAGTGGGGAACATACCATAGTTGGGTCCGGGGAACTTTATCTGGATTGTGCGTTACGTGATCTACGGGAAGCATACGGAAAGGTGGACATCAAAATTTCGGACCCCGTCGTACCGTTTGCTGAGACAGTGACTGAGATGTCGGCCCTTCAATGCTACGGAAAGACGCCCAACAAGCACAACAAGCTAGTCATGGTAGCAGAGCCCCTTGAAAGCAGCATCCTCGATGGACTGGAATCTGGGAAGCTTGAGAAGAGCGGGAATTCGTCAATGCTATTACGAGAGTTGGGCTGGGACGCACTTGCGGCTCGGTCCCTGTGGACGTTTGGTCCAGATATAGCGCGCGGTCCGAATGCGTTGCTAAATGATGTTTTGATCCAGGAGACGCGAAGGGAGTCTGACGACGTGCGAGAATCGATCGTACGGGGTTTTTGCTGGGCGATGCAAGAGGGTCCGCTAACAGATGAACCGGTGCGTGGCGTGAAGATGAGACTGCTAGACGCCAGCATTGCGAGCCGGGAGTTTTTACGGTCTCCAGCACAGATCATCCCGACGTGCCGGCGAGTGGCATATTCGTCGATTCTAACAGCGAACCCGCGTCTGATGGAGCCCGTGTATAGAACAGAGATTATCTGTGGGAGTGCGGCGCTGTCAGCTGCGTATATGCTGGTTGGGCGGCGACGAGGGGTGGTGCTAGAAGAGAGCGAGGTGGCCGGTGCACCGCTGATGCGACTGATGGTTGACATGCCCGTGTTGGATTCTTTTGGGTTTGAGACGGACCTGCGGGTGCTGACGCAAGGCGGGGCATTCTGCATGCAGGTGTTTGATCATTGGGGCGTCGTGCCTGGGGATCCGCTCGACAAGACAGTTGAGCTGCGTCCGCTTGAGCCATCCGGGAGAAGAGAGCTGGCGCGCGAATGCATGCTGAAGACACGGAGGCGCAAGGGGATGGGTGATGAGGTGTCACTTACTAAATATTTTGACGATCCTTTGCTGGCAGAGCTGGCCAAGGACAACGAGGAACTGCGGCAACTGTTGTGAATGAACACTTGCAGGAGGGGTTAAGCGTGGGAGGCAAGGGGCTTGGAAAAAAAAAAAAAAAAACAAGAAAACGATTGCATAGGCTTTTGGTTTATTCGCAGGCTAAATGTCGGTGGGGCCAGTGTGCGTCAAGCCTTGCACTGAGAGGCGGAGCGTGGCCAAGTCTGAGAGGTGGTTGCGGTGCGAATCAGAAGCGCTACGCCAGCCAGGGGACGCAGGCGGCAGAAATTGAGCGAAACAAGAGCGGAGTGGCAAGGGTGTCTGAAAAAGTCAAATTTACACAGATTCCGGTTGGAAGCAGACGTTGCAGAGGCGCAAGTGCTTGAATTTAGGCCCTCTCGCCGCGGATACGACGCGCAAGCTGAATATCCTTGGGCATGATGGTGACCCTCTTCGCGTGGATGGCGCACAAGTTGGTATCCTCGAAGAGTCCGACCAAGTAGGCCTCTGCGGCCTCTTGGAGGGCGAGCACGGCGGAGCTCTGAAACCGCAAGTCGGACTTGAAGTCCTGTGCGATCTCGCGAACGAGGCGCTGGAAGGGGAGCTTACGGATAAGCAAGTCGGTACTCTTCTGGAACTTGCGGATCTCACGGAGCGCGACGGTTCCGGGCCTATAGCGATGCGGCTTCTTCACGCCGCCGGTGATGGGCGCCGACTTGCGCGCCGCCTTGGTGGCGAGCTGTTTGCGAGGCGCCTTACCGCCGGTCGACTTACGCGCTGTTTGCTTGGTACGCGCCATTGCGTGTCGTGAGGAAACGGGGGGGGAGAGGGTGGCGGAGGGAAGTTTCGGATGTGAGTTGGCGGATGAAGCGTCACGGTGGGAAGGGAAGGGGGGGGGGGGGAAGGAAAGGTTGCGTGCGTGAGGGAGTTCTTTTATAGCGTTTTGGGGGGGGCGTCACTGTACAGCGAAGCGTGGGAGACTGAAGGGTGTGTCCAGGGACTGATGGCGTGTTTGGCGTTTAAAATTTTGAGATTTTCGTGCCGTCATGCAGAATCAGTGACGCTGTCGCTCTCGTGTCTTCCCAGTGCAGCGGCTTTTGCCGACTCCTGCACGTACTGACAACCACCCACCACCGATGCATTTCCGCCACCTCTCTAAAATCCCTTTTCTAAGCCGTATATGCGCACACCAACCCTGCGGTCCCCAAGAACACGCGTTATTAGAGTGTTTGCAACCTGCTTCAAATCACACATACCGCATGCATCTGTTATCTGGTGCACGCTGTTCTATTTGAGCCGCGGGCAACCCGCAAGGGTTCTTGGCTGACTTACATCATTCATTTCATCTCCCGAGGATGAAACGTTTATGCAGGAAAGACGCCTGCAAACGCCACCAAGCGCAGCGAAGTCTTGCAGTGCACAGAGCTTGGTTCCAAAGAAGTTTGCTTTATACAGTAAATTACGTCCTCTTCAAAATGTACGAGCCTTGAATCTGTCCCTGATTCTTCCCTCCCAACATCAGTGGTAGACTAAATGCAATCGGCTCGTTCCCGACCAGCGCACTCCACTCACTCCCCGTCCCACTGCCCCCTAGCCATAGCACGGCCGACCCAATAACATCGTCCCTTCTTGTCGGAATTTCGTCTCTCACTGTGATCACTACATATCGCTTTCCTACCGAATTACTTGCTGAGCTCAGCAGATCGATTCCTGGAACTGATTCTGCTTCCCAAACCGGATTCTGAGAAGCTTCTATTGTCCGTGTTCTGTACTCTCCTTCATCTAATTCTGCCACTGCGTCCCCGTGGAATGTGCAATATGGATCCGCGTGTTGTCCTGCCCCTAACTCTTCATGCTTCTTCCATCCTACGTGATTGTGAATGTGCAACGCCTTTGCTACTTGTATTCTGCGCCCCCCATGGTCCATTTCTGGAATCCCTGTCGCCGAAAGACTCTTAAACTGTAATTGCATGCCAGTTATTTCAGAAAATCCGGGAAGCAACGCGCGCATTGACAACGTTCGTGGAGAAACAATCGGTGACATCAATCCCAGATCCCTTGCTTCTTGGCAACTGCTATCCATTGCGATCGCTTCCAGATCCCGAGTTCCTCTGGTATGCACAAGGTTCGCACTGAATATTCCGTACACCGGTGAGTGATCCGAAGTCTGAATTTCATCTGCGGGTCGGTACTCTTGGAGCTTCAACCTACAACCACCCAGAGATCGATACAGTATCCTGTCGCAGTACGAAGGAACCCGTAGTTTTACAGCAGAATATTCCCGTGACCCTCTCAAATATCGATATGTAGGGCGGAAGTCAGTTGCACCTTCGTGGAAACCTTGGAAGGCTCGGCCTGCCTCCATTTCCTTCCGTAGTTGATCAGCCTGGTGCAGACTTTCCCAGTCCTCTTTCTCAATAAGCTCCAGTACCTTGTCTCGTTCCAGATCTATTCTGTAGTTCAAATCCCCCATCCAAATCAGATGGTGCACAGCACCTGCCAAAATATCCACTTCAGGGTTATCGCGCAAATTCCAAAGTCCGCCTGTGATTGACGCGAAGTCCTCATTCCTGCGATTTACCTCTCTTGCGTGTGCTGCCAGGTGCGAGTTAATGACGAGAAAGTCAGTGTCGAAAACTGTGAAGCGCGCCCCAATGGCACCCTTGTTTCCGGCCACACCTCCGAGCCCAACATTTGCAGTATCAGACCTGACACGCGATACAGCTGGTAGCAAGTTCCTCTTGACAAAAATATTCAAGCAGCGATCCCAGGCCGAAAGCTTTGCTATGCATGCATATTCGTCTTCCGGAAAGTGTGCCGATAGTAGCGTGTGCCAATGCTCTTTCCCACCCATCGATGTCGATGAATATGCTTGCGTCACTTTTGGGGAGCTTGAAATGCGTGAGATATCACCTTCAGAGTCTGTATCCCCATCCAATAATGGAGTCGCTTCCGTAGGGCCATCAGCGGAACTGCCTGCATGTCTTGATGAATTTTCACTTGATGCGCGCTGGATGGAGGCTGCCATGGGGTTGCTTGTTGCTGTATACGAACATTCCTGGGCTCCAATGGCGACAATGTCCATCGACGCAGCTCGCGTAAGCCACGATGAGAGGTCATCCGGCGGTTGGGCATTGCCCACATTGAATGTGGTCATGAACATGGATACTGTGTCCGGGCGAAATAGCTTCTTAGTCTTGACGTGGTACAAAACATCCATGAACGACTCGGCCCCCACGCGCGAGTTGAATTGCAGGACGGTTTCCTCTTCATCAACACCCGTGCCAATAGCGACAGCCCGGCCGCTTTGGAAATAGAGGCCGCGATCCAAGACGCGCAAATCGTGCACGTCAGCGAGCTTCTGCTCGCGAAAATTGTCGCGATTAAAGAGGCCGCTACGTAGCGGTAAGGTAATGGAAAGCCGCGGGGCGCGCTTGACCTTTGGCGCAGCCGCATCTCTTGGCGGGGAATGGTCGTCAGCCCGAGAGGCGGTCGAGGGACTGGGAGGGGTTGGCAGGCTCGTCTTTTTTGGATGCAAAGCGATAATGCGACCCGCGTGGGCGTCTAACAAGAGGTCAGGCAGATCCGGGGGGGATTTGAAGACGAATTCTGAGTTGCCGACTCGTCGAACATCGCCGGCGACGACGCGACATTTTGCATCTCGTGGTGTGGGGGCCGCCGACAAAAGGTAGGACAGACTTAGCGCTAGTACGCCACAGCCGACAGCAGACAGGACGTAGGGGTTGGACAGAAAAGCCCATGCCGTCGTCAAGAGGCCATATGACGGGGGCGTTGGGGTAGACATCGTCGCGCGGGATGGGCCCTTCTTCGGACGGACGGGGGTTGGGCTTGGTGCGTCAGGGAAGGCGATGGGCGTCGGCGGTTGTGCGGAGAGTTGTTCTTCTTCAGGGGGACGGGGGATCAATTCAGTATTGTGGCATGGCTGTGCGCATGCCTGGCGGGAGGCCAGACGCTTGGAATATGGGCGGGAGATGTTGGTTGTCGGTGATGTAGGGGGGGTGCAGGGGGCAGGGGAGGTGAAGGGGGTGGGTGCATCTACGAGTGATCGAGGAAGGAGGTTGCGAAGCGGCGAAGCAGGAATGGGGTTGGGGGGTTTGCGTGTGCTTGGAAAGGCTTGGCGCGCTATGACACGTTGCCGAGGCGGGGAGTCGGTGGAATTGAGGTTTTCGCATTTATTTTTGAACTCCATGTGCGGTACCCGTGCACCGGCGCTGACACTGGACGCCACTTGGTTTGTGCCAGTATGGGACACAGAAATTCACCTCACTAGGCCGCCCCCCTTCCATCGCTAACCTGCTTCCCGACACCATTGTTTGACGACCTTCAGTTTTTCATGCCTGCCCAACCCCTCGCCCCATCCACATGCCCCATCCACATGGCAGAACGTCTCAGACAGGCTTTCCTCAACACTCCACCTTGCCAGCGCCGGCACCTCTTCCATGTCCACATTCCACCGTCTGGACAGCAGCGCCTGCTGGTATACTCTGTACCGTAGCGGCGCGTTTCCAGATCTCTTTTTATAAATAAACTACGTTGGCACTTCCTTCCCAGTTCTTCTCAACCGCGTCGCATTTGTTATCGTGTACCGTATCGTACAGTGCCTCGAGACGAGCCATGTCTTCAATGCAATTGTACTTGCAAGAGAATCCGTTCCTGGCGATGATCAAATGTCTCATAGCGAATTTCTATGTCGAAGTTTATGCAGCTTGCTATCGGCTACAGTACTGTACAGTACAACGACCGCACTGTATATCCCACTTCACGTCAACGACATCCACCCAACACGTCCTCGTCCTACGGTACAGTAGTTGCGTACCCCCAAAAAAACATATCACGTACATACAGTACCCTTGGGTACTCAATGCAACGCCGCCCACCGGAGGCCGATTTTTACCTTTCTTTCACATCGCGTTAACTCCCAAATTTCCACCCGGTACCGGGGTTTTCATTATCCAGTCGTTCCCCAATCTGTGTAAACCTCCCGCCCATAAGTTTGAGTAACTTCTTAGTAAGATAATCATCCCGATGGAGCCCCTTCTCAGTGACCAACTCTGTACAACTCGCACAAGTATACCAAACCCCACTATCCACCTCTTCTTGCAGCTGCCCCGGCGACCATCCCGAGTAGCCACAAAAGAATCTGCAGCTGTCCACGTTCATCTGCCCCCTCTCGATACGACTGAGCACCTCTGCGACGCCGGATGTCGCCACGCCATCCACAACCTGACCAGCACCCGGAATGGACGCGTCGTTATGCAACGCCAGTAAAGAGTCCAGCGCCACAGGTCCTCCTAAATACAGCGGCGCCGGCGCCGCAGACACGGCCCCTCGTAACCTCGGCTCGGACACGGCTGCCGCGACGGGGCGGTTGAGAATCACGCCAACCGTTCCCTTGTCACTGTGATGGGTCAGCACTAGCACCACACTGTTTGCGAAAAATGAACACGAGTGCTCGCCCACAAAGTGCTCGGGGCTGGCGATCAACAAACACCCAGCCTCGACGAATGGTACCTCGTGCGCCCATTCCTTTGTACTTGGTTCTCCGGCGGGAGTAGTCGTCTGCTCTGTTTGTACCAGACGGGCCCGGAAGGACCGCCAGTCCACTGTGGAACCCCCAGAATGCTCCGCTCTCGCAGCCTGTAAACCGTTCCGCGGCGACGTAGCAGGCCGTCGTAGCCTGTACGCGTCTAGGCGATGCGGGGCCGTGGGAATGAAGGCTTGCATGGTTGCCAGGCACGTGGTTCCAGAGCGTGTCGCTGTGTTGCGGGAGCAGCAGAGGGGAATAACTCTACGACGGGTGAATTTGTTTTACGCCCAAGCGCTGGCTTTGGCCGGCTTTCAGCCGTGTGGGAAATGCGGGACTCTGGTGCTTGTGTTGCAAGGGTAGGCGCAGTGAAACGTGCAACATGTGTTTTGGCAGTCGGTGGAGCTACAACGAGATTTGCCGTGGCTTTCAACTCGTGGACCGTCCTTATTGGGTTGTGATTACCTTGAGATAAAAGAGGTCTGCTAGGAACACGAACAACGCACGATACACAATGAATGTTTCTGTACACGTATTCCACGCGAATGTTGTGGAATACGGGTCTTACGTGGATACACAGACGGTTTTAACGAAATAGCCCAAGTTTTGCCAATTTTCTGCGATTTTTGGACTGCTCAAAGAGACCTTTTCTATGCATGTCGCAAGATCATCCGGATCACCATTCAGATGCTCATCTGCTTCCCTACACAGTCGTTTATTCAGCACATCTTCAAGAATACTCTTTGCACTCTGTTGTCGCCGCGGTTTGATCAAGCAAATTGTGAGGGTGTCATTCCATCCACATTTTTCTATCTCCACAAGCATCATCCCTTCGAATTGCCAACAACGATTAAACGATCGCGATCACGAAGAAATTTGCTCTCTAAGCAGCCCGTAGTACTGCCAAACCATCCGCACCCATGATTCTCAGAAGCGCTTTTCGCAGTCTGTGCTCAAGTCTTTCCAGAGGATTGCAAACTGAAGCGGCTTTGGAATTGAACGAGGCGGGCATTGCAAGGAAACCTCGACCATGGCCTCTCGACAACCGCGGCGAAGAGATCAGGACTGCCAAGGCCAGGCGGCTCGGTATTTCCACATCACCTCATAAACTGAACATCGTCGCCAAGCTCGTACGCGGAATGACGATCAACGAGGCCGAACGTCAGATGGTCGGATGCCGAAAGAAGCATTCAGAGCATGTTTGGAAGACGATCGCTGCCGCTGTCACCAATGCGCGCCACGCAGGTCTACGAGAGGACAGATTGGTTGTCAGCCATGCCTTCGTCGGGAAGGGCAAGTACCTCAGGAAGATCAGGCCGTGGCACGGCAAAGGCCGATATGGTATCGAGCACAAGAAGTACGCCCATCTTACTGTTTTGGTAAGGGAGCTTGATGAGGAGCTTTGGGAGGCTGCCGTCATGCCAAAATATATACATTTGGGTTATCGCCATGGAGAGAATGACCCTGACCATGATCGCAATCATCCGATTCACAAGTCAGATCGGGTTTCTTGGCATAGCCAGTTAGACGTTAGCATGAGGGCAACAAGGGATAATATCCAGGGCTTACGAGCGCTGCTGGAGGGGGAAGGCGATTCAGAGTCAGCTCCTGGTGCTGCTCCCAACGCGAAGTGATAATCTAGACTGAGGGTCCATGTGAAAACCGCACTCGGCTGGAAATCCGACCAGCCACTCGACGCTTTTCATGACTAGAGCCACTCAACACGCGAGAGCAAAGAGAATAGGAGCACATTGTCATGTGGCTCGATTTCGTCGCACCATGACACCGTGCGAAGCAGAGACTAGAGTTGTGACACGTTTGCCGACATTCCACAAATTCTCTTAGTGAACGGATCTGTGTTTTTATATGTGACAGTCGTTGTTTACTGTCATAAGATATTGACTCATCTAACTTCCCAAGCATAGACAGGACGTTTGTAACCCGCAGGATTAACTTCCACATCTGTTCTCGAATTCTGGTATCACTCCAAACCTCTCGTTCCGTTAGGATCGTCATCGCGATCGCGACCAAATAAGTTTCTTTCGTCACTACGCTTCGGCCGAGTGATCTAGATGAAATGCACTTTGTACCACTCCAAGGTACTGCCCCTCATTGTTTCTGTGCGCTGACTTGTTGCACTAGCGCTTGGAACTTTTGTTGTTCTGTCAAAAGAGTGACGCGTCGTTGTTGTTGTTCTTTCTCTACCTTTTGCGCTCGTTCTTTCGCATTCTTCACTTCCTTAGAAATGTATTCAATTCTGGTGTTCACTGTGCTTTTAGCTTCATCTGCTTGTTGTGGGATGAGAACAGGGCCAACAAGCTTGAATATCTTGGCACCTTGTTCCAAGTTGTCGAGCTCCTGCGAAACAAACGTGATCATAAAGAGTTAGATGTGGGAGTTCAGCCCCAGCTTCATAGCCAATAGAAAAGAACGAACGGGTTTTAGCACTGCTAAACGTACGTCTTTCACTAGTTTGTTCTCGGTCAACTGACTCTGCAAGTTGTTCATTGTGTTCACAGAGTTGGCCAGATCTGCGGAAAAGATGGCATGAATAAGGATAGGTAAGAATCGGAAACTGTAATCGTTATATGCGTCCGTAAAAGCCATTCCATCAGATACAGCCATCAAATGCGCACGTACCATTTTGCACCTCTTTAACCTCCCCCACCAGCTTTTCGATCCTTCTCTTCATGTTCGAAAGAACTTGCATTTCTGCCATTTTGGAGTCACTCAATATTGCAGCCTACACTCAAGTCCACGGAACACCCCCGCTACCAACACTACGGGCAGTAGTTGGATAAGGAAGTAGAAGGCCAATGTGATCTGTTGTGATGGGTTGATCTTGCAAGGTTGTGCAGCGATGTGAGAAAAAGGAAGGCGGGTGTGCCGCAGTATAAGGAAACCCAGTTCTCTCAAAGGCGTCTGTATCTATGGACACGTGTAAATCGTTTTTGCTTTAGACATGATGTATTGTATCTAGCCGCGGTCCAACAGCTGCCTTTTCGGAGCAACAAGAGGACCGATGTTCCACGTTCGGGTCGTCAAGCACATGAAAATTGATCCTGTCGAAACTATATGCTTAAAAACAAAAAAAATAACGGAGAATTATTCTCTGGACCAGTTCTGCCCTGCTCTTACGTTTTTCGAGAAGGTGTGTTTATTTTACGTCTCCAATGCAACAGACGTCCTGAGCAATTCTTTCGCTTCTGTCATTACTTGAACGACAGTTGGCCACTATCCTTTTACCGTACCCTTCTTGTCCGCGTTTCCATTTATCTAGCTTGGCGCACCTCTAGTCTTCTTTCGTCTCGTTTTCACCGAAATCTATTCTTCACGAAACCAACAAAAACTTCAGTATGAGTGGCATTGCTCGCGGTCGTCTGACAGAAGAACGTAAACAGTGGCGCCTGGACCATCCCGTTGGTTTCTACGCTCGTCCTGAGAAAAAGGATGGGCAGTCCAATTTGATGAAGTGGGAATGCGGAATTCCTGGAAAGGACCAGGTATGGCAACCACAGTTACCCGTTTCATTTGTGCAGAGGTGCTGCCTTGCATGCATGCATGAATTTCTGACTCTTCCCTCTCGAGCCTTTGGACGTATTGAATCTCAGACTTTGTGGCAGGGTGGTTTATACAAACTTGTGTTGGAGTTTACCGAAGACTACCCAAGCAGGCCTCCGAAATGTACGTTGGTCTGAACTTGCTCTTACTATTACTTGCCACCTTTTCTTGATCTCTCACAGATGTCTATGCAATGTTGTCTAATTGGTTTTTCAAAGGCCGGTTTGACCCCCCCTTGTTTCATCCGAATGTCTACCCGTCGGGAACTGTGTGTCTAAGCATCATCGACGCTGACAAGGCATGGAGGCCGTCCATAACTGTTAAGCAGGTACGTTTGGCGATATGTGAACACTGATATGCTCTGTGCAACAGCCAACGTGTGAAGCTTGAACCGCAGAAGCCACCTTTTCAGGCTTTAAGTAATTAATGCAGTGCCTCTGACCGTGTTCGTTTATCATCGTTTGTAGATTCTGCTCGGCATTCAGGATTTGTTGGACACCCCGAACGCACAAGACCCCGCGAACGCCGAGGCTCACGCTCTGTTTATGAAGTCCAAGCCGGCATACAACGATCGCGTTAAGCAGATTGCCGCGCAGTACACCTCGTAAGTATTGTTCGGATGTGTGATGTCATCCGAACGAGGTCAGTTCTTCCAGGTCTTGCCGTTTGGTCTATCCGAGCAGACAAGATAAGTTCGTTCAAACCCAGTGCTTTTGAAGAAAAAATAGGTATTCCGCGACACACACTCCTCAGGGAAGTGTCGGAGAGAAAACCACGGGAAGATGTTCATTAGAAGTTTCGTGTTCCTCTCTGCTTGTAAAGTTGAGGCCACACTGTCTTCCTCTTCGTTGATGTATTAGTTAGATACCGCTCGTTGCCGCCTCGTAGATGTGAGCAATTCTTTCGTAGGAGAAACTTTTGCTTGCACACACCAGATTGAGAGGGTGTCAATAGAAAGCCTCGAAAATTACTCGGTGTTATCTCACGAGTGTGCCGTTGTTTCGAAGGTTTCTTTCGGTGAACCAGTGTTGACAGGTGCGAATGTGACGCAGGTTATTCAGTACTTCTGAAGCGAACCTCGGTATACGCCCACATGTAGATGGTACCTTTAGAGGCAAGATTACAAGCAGATACCTTCTCAGTCGAGGAAAGAGAGAACATAAGCTACGTAAAGACCGAAAGGCGCTAGTTCGAGCCCTACTCATTTCTCGGTCGTCAGGACGAACAACAGGTGCCCTCCCTCTGCTTTGAGGACGTAGAGATCATATAACACTGAAATCCTTTGAGTTCCGCAATGAACGAGCCGAGCGGTCAGAGTGGGATCCATCGGTAATCGAGGGAAAAGACTCGCAAACGTTCACGAGAAACACGCTTGGACTCAGTGCCTACCTGCTTGTATGCCTCTTGCGCGTATTCGGTACACGAAAAGAATTGCAGCAGGCTCGCCCTGGAAAGGGGGACGGAAGTGCGATGATGTGTTGAAGGCATGCCATCACTTAGAGGGACGGTGGGCGGAATTCCTGGGGCGCAGCTATTTGTGAGTACACTGTTTCGTGGGGGGCTGGTGTGTAATGACGCAGGCTCGGGCTTCGGCTCCTCCCGCATCAGCGTTACGGAAGCAGTTGGGGACACTGGTCGCGCTAGAGCCCCAAAGCAGTTTGGTCGCTTCTCTGACGAGGTGGTGACCGCTGCCAACGGAGGCGTGAGAACAGGGGCTGTAGCTCACTCCCCATCGCTGTTGTTGCGATGGGGAGTGAGGTGGACTTGAGCTTTCGGAGCTGCGGAGAGGTGAACTTCACGAGCATTGGGAGCTCCTGAGCTTTTGGAGCTACGGAAAAGTATCTCTCACCACCATTCGAATCAGTGCTGCAAACGGCCCGGGAATGGCAGAAATCGCAGACACAGTAACAGCAGAGCCAGACCCAACGCCTACACGTCGACACACCTATGCACCCTGCCCCCACCGCCCTGCTCGCTGAGCCACTACCCTCCTCGTGCGCAATGAACGCCCCTCCCTCTTCAACCACTCCCCTTCCCTTCGAGTTCCTCCGTCTCCTGCCCCTTTCCGCCACTCAATTCCCCAATGGACAAAATCTGTACACTATGTCCCCCGTTCCTCAGACTTCTTCATCATACATGACCTTGTCGTCAGAGCGTCATCCCTCCTCTCATTCATGTTGCTGGGCTGCTGACGCCAGCACTGAGCCCTCACACACAGTCCGCGTCAGCCACCATCTCCACGTGCTTCCTACCCGCTGTCCTCCGCAGACTGTTTCGAGGAACCTGGCTGGCTTTCAGCCGATGACCAGACGCCATTCCAACGAGAAAGAGTCTGCTGAGCCAGTACTGACAACGACTGGCCTGCACGTAGGAAAGGAGCTATCGGCGCCCACTTGACCCGATAGGAGCGGCGCGATGCGCCTGGCCTCTCTCAGTCATTCTGCACGCCCCCGCTATGTACACTCTGACCAACGCCCCGCTCGCTGACTTCATGCGACGTCAAATCACGACGCGCTCGCTGTGCTCGAGCCTGCCCTGCATACGCTTGCCAACCCCATTTCAGCGAAGTAGTCCCCTCCTTGTCAGATATCGAAGAGGCTGATGTACTGCGCAGGTTCACTGCATGAAGCCCACACTGTTGACAGCACATACCGCCAAAGAGCCTTCAGAAAAGCTGCGCAGCGCCCCGCAAGCACCGCAAAAGTAGTAGACGCTGAAAACTTTATCGTCCTATTCTCTTTCGCAGGTCATCTCCTATTCTGGACCTCCGAAGTACTCAAGCCCGGGCCTGGTCCGCGTCAAGGCAGACCGCATCCTAGTGAGAATTAGACTTCTTCGATGGCGATTGTAGAAGTCTGGCGGAGTGGAACTTTTGAATACCCTTCAAAACATAATACTTTGATATCTTCGAAAACCAAGTACATAGCTTGAAAAACGAACGCGTAGTTTTTAACTCGATGACTCATCGGGCTTTTAAAGTCATCAAATTTATCCTTGCGTTGTGCAAGATGTTGGTGTCTTGGACGTATTAATACATCAGTAGACACAGCGGCATGATCTCGTTCATAATTAGGGAATCAATGGATGCACTTAAGGGGATTCATGCAAGAACGTCGGTCTTCTAGCTAGACTTGCCTTTAGCGATATGTACGTCTTGTTAATTGCACAGTATTGACGTCGTCTAGAACAATATGCGTCTCCATTCTGAAGCGATATTCAAGTCCCTGTCAAGCGTTTGCATTGTATATGTAGCTTATTGAATCACTATTCTCGAATTCAACCCGGCTCCTCCAGCAAGCATGTGTGTGGGCATTTGTGTGTAGGGGGCAGCATGGCTATTCTAAAACTTTACCGTTTGGCCAGCCTCTTTCTTGCTATTTGTAGCCCTAGCCAGCTAATAGCCTCCGGTATGCTCTGCTAAATAAAGGAAAGAGATTTCCGTTGGATGATACACTTACTGTAGCGATCTCCAGAAGAGCTCGAGTCAAAGTCGCAAACTAAAAATACGTCTTCACAAAAACTTCTTTCGCGAGAAGAGCTTGATGCACGTTTCCTCTTGATGTATACATACCGTACAGAGTCGAACTGTGGAATGGATACTGTACTTGAGTGGAATAGTGTCATTGCTGGATACCTTCCAAAAAATATTGGAAGATGACATTTCTTTTTCATGATACGGCTCAATCAAGTTTCAAACTTGCGACACGCGGATCAGTTGCCATCTTTCTTCCGCGGGAGCAGCCTCATCCCCACTACTCTTCGGGAGCAACGGGGCAGCGAAGCGGGTAAACGGCGCCTCATTCACTGTTGAATTGTCGCTGTCATCGTAGACGTCGAAAAGTCTATTGCTGTGCCTGCCGTTAGTTTGCTGGTGCGCTCAACTGGATCTTCAAGGGTTGGTTTCGGATCACCGCCAGTTGCTTGATTCGCAACTGAATTTTTCGAATGATCGTACTTGCGTCTGCTGCTTCAATTGGAGTGCATGTGATGAAGTCCTTCAGAAGCTGGATATTGCTTTGCGTGCTAGCTGCGCTCTGCGCGGCGATATCGGATGCGGCGGAACCTTCGATCGCTTTGGTAAAGGCAACCTTAAAAGTCAGCACGGTGCGGGATGGCGAGAAAGTTCATCGGGTGTGGCTGTCAACAGAGACTGATAAGGTCGCAGAAATGGCTCAGCCGGAAGGATTTGAAGTTGGAAATGCGAATTCATTCTCAGTACAGGCGTCTTTCGAGAATGAAAAGGGTGAATCTGCGTCTGTGCATCAGCTATTTTTGAGGTTTGTCAACCAACGGACGAAGCAAGACAACTTGTACTTGGTTAAGCGTGGCTCGCGAGATATGCGGACTGAAATCAATCTGAAGAATGAAATTAAGGGGGATGCCGAATTTTGGGTGAAAGATGATTCCTACGCTGTCGAGCTGATAATGGGAGACAAACTACTGAAGGATAGCACGACTTGGAGAATAACGGAGAAAATGCGCTTCGACGAGGATGCGTTCCCCATGTTCAAACGAGTTACGCGGGGAGTGTTTGACTTTGACGTTGGTGTGAAAAAGGGTTTACTTCCAGAATTCATCTCGCCGATCCCAGCATCCGAAAAGAGGGCTCAGTTGTTTGCTATATTGCTTGCTCTCGCTAGCACTCTACTTCCACTTCCATTACTTCTAGTTGTATGGGTCCGTTTGGGGGTCTTCCCGTTGCAGTTCCCTGGTGACAAGAAGGAAAAGATTTCCATCTTAGCTTTCCAAGCATGTTTGGTGGCACACCTTGGAGCTCTAGTGATGTTTTGGGTCAAGTGGAATATCGTGACTACTTGGAAAGTCATGGGAGTCATCATGGTTCCAACTTTGCTGTTAGGGAGAAGCGTATTATCAACAGACAAGGCGACGTGAGCCTAATAAAGTTCAATGTTTTCTAACTGAATAACTAAGTGCGCAACGTTTGAAGCTGAGCGTGAATGATACTAGTATCTGTGCATGTGATGCACGGGTCTCGATTTCAAGGCAAGAGCTCTCTTGTCTTACATCATGCGTTAGGAAAGTGGTCGTAACTCCCGAAGCTCTTGGTGTGGGGAGCAGAGAGCAGCAGAGCGGGTCTGGTGGAGGCTTATTACGACACTCTCACAACTCGCAACTATACTGTATCTATCTGGGGATATCTGGCGGGGAAGGGGATAGGTTTCCAAAACCCTCAGCATATTTTTTTACAAAAAAGTAGAAAAAATGGAATTGACCTTCATGCAGCCCCCAATGCATGAAACCGATCCAGAGGTGTGAGACAAAGAAAGACAAACCTCCGCTTTACACAAGCACGTCTGGCGTCCTTATCCCTCATCGACGACAAGGGGCTGATCCGCTCCTAGTCCTCGTCCTTCCCTTTACCGCCACAACAACTGACCCCTTCCGGACCACCCCCATCCCGAATCCTTCCTCCTCCATCCCATCAGCAAATTCGCCACCCCGAATCGGACATTACACAAGCCGCTCGTCCACGCTCCCACGTCTTGCCCCTCACCGACGTGTATGGGTGGCGAAAAGCCGCCACCTCTCGCGCCCGCCACAACGAGTACATTGCGGTAGGCTCGAGGGCCCCTTGTCTCCCGCAAGCAAGGTACGCCCTTAGCTCCAGCGGAACTAGATCATTCCATGGACCAACGTATGGTTGACGCCGAACCAGAGTCGATCGGACCTCTTTGGATTCGCCGTCAGGTCTTCGAGCATTCCGTCGCAGTGCCGTTACTCACTTTCACAACTGCCTCTCAAATCGATTTTCCGAAGCTCGCCCATGAACTTGTAATTGCATCCCAGACAAATGATCCAAATGTTGGACCGGCCGTCTCATACGATGCTTGGGTAGCCGCCGCTGGACTACATGCTCAACTCGATTCTTCAGAAGACGCTGGAGTAATCATCGAAGCGTTAGAAACAAATGCCCCAGATGCATTTGTGCGATGCAATGATCCCAGCAAATTAGCCCCGGGGCGCCAAGTCAGCTATCGGCAACTGCTCATCCCGGTCCCAGAGTTATTGGCTTTTGTCAAGCTGCACGCTGCTGCTACTCTATCTAGTCGTTTCCGTGAAACTGCTGATGCAGTATGGCCTGAAGCAGAGGGCGGCTCTGGTTCTGTCTCACCCGTCGGAGGTGTATCGGCTGCTTGTCCGTCGAACCCAACAAATGCGCGCCATACAGGCTCCCCTCTAGCAAGCCCTTCAAGCCCTCAATTGTTAACTCCGGCAGTTTATCCATCTCTCAGTCCGGCTTCTCCTCGCATTCCACGCACAGCACACATCGCAGCTGCGGAATTGCCAACAGAAAAACTTTCTGCCCCTGTCGTCGTAGGGACCGGAAACCAGCCCATCACGGCATCTCCACCACAGACAAATAGTGGGGCCAACACACCTCCCTCGCCGAATCCCGCCCCCCCGAGCAGTCCCGTTCTAGATGGAATTGTTCGGAAAAAGACGCCTACTCAGTTGGGAGCGATAGTGAATTCTCAATCAGCGATCATTGCTTCTGTGCAGCATGCCTTTCAGAGAGAGACTAGGCTTGTTGCGAACAACTTGAAAAGCTTGCTTCTTATTTTGGCTTCCGCTTATGGTGTTGCACCAGAGAACAACTCGCCCATAGATACGGTGTCTTCCGAAACCGGAATCGTGATGGGAGGCGGGTCCATTGCTGTCGAACATGGAACCTTGTCCCGAGAAAGTCCCCAAGCAAAGCCACGTCGCTCGACATCCCTGGGATCATCGTCCGAGGCTCTCATGGATGACGAAGCCTCGAAGTTTCCGGCACGGAATTTACCGATCACCAAGCAAATGTTTGAACACTTAGCATTTCTCGTAACCACAACATCTGGTCCTGCTGGGTCTTACCGATCCATTGCTCGTGTAATACCACAGTGGCGAGAATGGTCGAGCGATGTGACGGTGCCCTTATGTGATCTCACAGATATGCTTACAAGTGCTCTGATTCGAGTTCCACTTCAAAAAGAAGTGGACGGCTTCTCAGATGTTGCAGAGATACGAGACTTGGACAAGAAAACAATCCTCAGACGTTCGATCCCCACCACAAATGCAGGAATCACGGATTACCCGCATGCAAAGGAGATCCGAATATCAAATTGCTCTGATTCCCATTTCTACCTCATGAGTTCTTTTGGGAGAGTGTCTCTTATTGCATGCCATAATTGCACTCTTTTCGTCGGTGCATGTGTTTCTCTTTCACTCATCAATTGTGTAAACATGCGGGTACACGTGATTGCGCGTGTTTGTCGTCTGACAAACTGTTTCGATACCCATGTGTACCTTTGCACGAATAGATCCCCTCAAATTGTTGGTGAAAACCGGGGTTTACTATTCGCACCGTACAACGCTGCATTTGCGAAAGAGGAAGTGGATCACTATCTAGCAGTTATGGGTATTGATCCTAAGGCCAACGCCTGGGATTCCTTTTATCGCCCTGCCCATCGCTCCCGTTCTGCTGCGGACAAGACGGATCCGGACTTGACCTCTGCAGTGGCGTCGGTACTACCGCCAGACTTGTTCCTACCTTTTGCCGTTCCTGTCGAGAAGAGGAAGACTCCATCGGATGAGGATGTCGATTCTAAGGGAAAAATTCATGGGAGTGAAGAAGATCACGAAAGCGATGAAGCAAACTCCAGAATGTTGTTCGCTGTGCCTTTGCCCTTGCCAGATGCATATTCCGAGCAATTGAAGAAGAAAGGTAGTGAGGTATTCAATATTCGCCGTGAGATCAGAGCCATAGAAAAGAAACATGCATCTATGTCCAGTGCGACGCAACAAATAGATGCAACTCAAGAGGATCAAAACACAGGTGGAAAAGATGTGTCGATGAGCGATAGCGCTGGAGCTTCGCAAAGCAAAGTTGGGGAGGAGGAAATCGAAGCGCCGAGCGTTACCGTCAAGAAAGGAGTGCTACAATCACTTGTACAGGAGCGGTTCAAAGAGTGGTTAACTCAATCCGGCAGAATGAGGCAAATTAGCGACCTGGTCCGCCTGAGCCCCGATCAAGGTATATAACAATTTGGCAGATTCTACCACAATGGGATGTCCACAGTAAAGACCGGACATGCTCCCAAGCCCAAAACGGGCGACTAGGACAGGAAAGTGATCAAACAACGACATTTCAGGCTTGCCATTCAAGGAACCTCAATATAACATTTACATATTACTACTCACTTGCCTGGGTGTCACTGCCTTCGGATGATTAACTTCGACCTTGAGGGTCCTCGATGTGAGCTCGCGGAGTGTCCACTTGCCCCTTTGTAACCCTTGGGTTTCTTGCTGGAGCGGGCCAACCGGCGAGCTTCGGCCTTTGCCTTTAGCTTCCGTGATTTCCTTATTTCATCAGTTGACTTCAGTTCATTGCGGCGACATAAACCCTGAGCATTGTCGCTCGTCTCAAGTCGCTTAGTCTTAGCGGCGGCCGCGACTCGGGCTCTTCTCCCAAACGCACCCTTCCGAAAGTCATTATTTCCTAAACCGCTGTCAAGACTGAGATGGGCGACATTCTCCCCGACCCCGTCGGCAACCTTTTCAGCGAGTTGCTCTACAGCCTTTCGGTTTTTATATAACCATTTGCTAAACAGCGCTCCGTCAGCGGTGCCGTAAGAGTCTCCACCTTTTGCATTTGCCCTCGCCTCCCTTGTCGCCACATGCAAGTTGCGCTTAGAAGTTGTAGACGTTGGCCCACCTCTCACATACTTCTTTGACACGCGATCCCAGTACTTCGCCGTAGATGAACCCGTGTGTTTTGAGCGTAAGAGGTCGCTATTTGCGTCAGCATTCATATCCATGGCTGCGTCTCGCAATTCGCGGAATGCATTCAAGCCATCCCCCATAACTCCACCGCTTCGAACCTTTAAGGCTTTTTCGGACTGTTTTTGAGAAACATCCTGCCTCGCAGACAGGAAAAATCTATTTCGCTCTTCCTCCAGTGCTGCTTGACGCGCAGATATCTTCATTGAACGAGCAGACTCCTCTTTGCTCTGGATCAACTGAAGCGACTCCAGGATACCCGTCGATAAGACTTCGGCACTCTCAGTCTTCCCTGCCCCCTGAGGTGAACTATCTCCTTCGGTTGCGTCGCTTTCCATCCGCGGATATATCCTCTTCAAAAGAGCGTCTGGTGCGGTTACCATTGTTTCTCTGGGTCGATACAACGAAAGGCGAGCGGCTTGTTCTGATGCCTCGCGCTCTATATCAGTTTCAAGGTCAGTGAACCATGGATGCACGTGTACATTCCGTCGACCACCGTTTGGATGAGTAAATATTTCCTTCCCGCGCCGAACGCTTTCTCCACTCGCAACTCCTCTTGTCTTTGTGTAAAGTCCTTGCGCATTTCTCGCAGATTTGTAAGCCTTACTCAATTCTACACCCTGAATCGCATGTCTCGTTATCTCCACTTCTTCGTCTATTGCACACTTCGGCAACGCTCCAACTATAAAGGATGTCTCCGTCGCAAATGTGTGGCATGAGAAGGGATTCGATGCTTCGCGATTGTCAGCGCCCCTTCTTTCTGCAAATGTAACGCCTCTGCCGACGAAGAGGAAGGTATCTAACATATATGAAACTTCGTCGCTTGCCACAAGGTTGAAAGCTAGGCCAAATCTCCCGGCCCTACCTACGCGACCAACACGATGAATAAATAGTTTGGGAGTTGCGGGAATGTCGTAGTTGATCACTGCACCAAGCTCAGGAAGATCAATTCCACGGGCAGCTACATCCGTTACAACTAAAACCTTACTGAACTTCTTGCGGAACTTTCCAACCGCATCAAGACGAGCCATTTGATCCATATTTCCATGAATACACCCAACAGAAGGCGTGATACAGACACGGAGAAGCTCTGTTAAGTACTCCACTCGGCGGTGCGTCGCCGCAAAGACTACCAAAGTCCTTCCCTCATCCAAAATTCGTCGGACCAATACTTGTAGCGCAGCGTCTTTCGAAACATCACCTCGAGTGCTAAGGAATGCGACTGCCAAGGTTGGAGATATTCCCTTGTCCGCGTCAAGACGCACCACAGATAAACTTTTGCGAAGTCCAGTTCGCGAGAATTCAGCGAGAGCATGTGGCATGGTGGCAGATATCAAGATTGTTTGTCGATCTTCAATAGTTTCAGTCTGCCTATTCCGTAAATTCGCAATTAAAGCAGCTGTCTCCACTGCTAGAGTTCCTTCAAACAGACGATCTGCTTCGTCAAACACAACAGATTCTGCGGTAGACAGCGTGAGCCCGCCTCTTGCCCCCATCTCTGCCAGGAGTTGAAGCAAACGTCCAGGTGTTGCAAAAATAATGTCCGGACAGACGGCTAACGCTTCAAACTGTGCCTCTAATGGCGTTCCTCCCACAACCACAGCAGTTCGAAGCGGAGGCTGCATACACTTCGAGTACAGCCTACAAAACTTTAGAGTTTGGAGTACAAGCTCCCGTGTTGGCGCAACGACAAGTGCGCGTGGTCCATTCCTCCGCGAAGCTGTGGACATCGGAAGAGGAGAAGCGTCGAGCCTATGAATCAATGGAACTAAGAAAGCGGCAGTCTTGCCAGACCCCGTTCGAGCCATAGCAACAACGTCATCCCCTGCGAGTACGTTAGGAATAACTTTTCTTTGGATGGGAGTTGGGAAACCGTATCCTGCCGCCTTCATGGCTTGGCAAATGGGCATGCTTATTCCCATAGCCTCGTATGAGCCTGGACGTGGTTTGCACTTTTCATCAACCTTGAGCTTGTCTCCTGGGATCTTGCCCTTGTCTCCTGGGATCTTGCCCTGACTCAATGAACTTCTGTCAGTGTTCTTAGTTTGCGGCGTTTGTTTCGGGATAGAACCACGCATTCCGTATCCCATCTGCGTACGGTCGGAGTCATTCGAAACTTTGCGGCGGTGATGCAAAATGCGAAAACTGTCTGACTCAGTCGGGACGCTGACCGTGGGGAAGCCCAGCTCCTCTTCCATCGCACGCGCAGGGCCTCGACGTGTGCCGGGTGAAGAACAGCGAAGAGGAATACTGTCCGGGTTGGTAGTAGATGGTGGTGCACAGGCAATGATCCCCGAAGCTCGAATGGCAGCTTTCCTTGAGAGAAGAGATACGCCACCGCCGTCACCGGGCGGTACAAAACCTGATCATACATGACCCTACAAAAGACAACAGGAGTGCAAACAATGCCACATCAAAAAAATTTCGGGCGACACCGCTTCCAAATGAGTGCGGTGTGGGAGAATCGAACTCCCGTTTTCACGGCCACAACGTGAGGTCCTAGCCACTAGACGAACACCGCTCCGTTATGACGTGAGTCATATAACATCACATATTTAATCTTTCTATTTCGTTCAAAATTACCGCTCTGGGGCCGCCGCCGTTTTTACCCCCCGCCGCCGTTGCCAAGGAGCATAAGAGGTTGGCATTTCGCAGCTCTTGCTTGTTGGGATTAGTAAAAGCACGGATCCAAGAAAACCGGAGTCGCGACTTTGTCCGAGTTAGCCCCTGCTATCGTTTCTCCCATTTCGACTTTGCGGTGAGGACAGGGCTTGGCCTACCCAAATGAAGTATGATACCCCTTTGGACACATTAAAATCATTTTCATTGCTACTTTTTGCGCCTCGCCATTCTTCCTCATCCCACTACAACCCTCCGTAGCAGTATGTGCAAGTCCTCTTCCGCCTGTGATACGAAACACAGGTGGTCTCTCAACTACACGGACGAATCGACAAATGTCGCTGCCCCAACGCAGCCCTCTCGGGCCTCCGCCGTCCGTGCAGCCATTGGCAAGTACGAGACTCCTCCAGGGTTCCCGTCGGAAGTATCCGCTCGCAACTTATTCATGCTGCGGAAAGTAACGGCCAGTAGCAAGGCGTCAGGGAGCAATGGCAAGGAGAGCCCTTCGAAGCCAGACTTGAACGCGGCGTACAGTGCGTCTTGGTCCATAGCCTTTTCACCGGCTCGGTCCTTGGTAACGTCGGCCTTTGCTCTTTTCATGAGTAGCACATCCGTCCAGTTTTTCTCTGTTGCTACGACAATCACTGTTCTTTTCATGCATATTCAGGCTATCTTTGCGACTGGAGAGGCATTTAAACAGGTCGCAAAATCAGGGATCCCCACTAAGATGCTTGCTCCGCAAGTGCTGGTGCACTTACTTTTGATTTCCGCTGGTGTTGCCGTAGGCCTGTACAAGGCCCATCTCCTAGGCTTCCTTCCTACAACACAGAGCGACTGGGTTAGCCTCTTACCGCTTCGCATCATCGAAGACGGTTATCTTAGACTCGCAGTGACAATGTGAACGGCTTGCTTAACGCGTGAGTGTATACACAGCATCGCTATCATTTCTAACTTATTTCAAGGAACGGCATACATTCAGGAGTGATCATGCTGAGTTGGCGTCATATATTTGAATTCTAACTGTCCCGCACCAACGCTGAGAGCTGCAGAACAAAATCGTTGCATCAACAAAGCGCGAACAAGTCTCTTTATTTTTTGACCAGATACTTTCCACCTAACTGCAAACTGAGAGACTCGTCAGAAAAGAAGTGCTTTCGGGACAAGTCGCGGACATGAGACTTGTAGATTTTGCTCATTAGCAAATTTTATTTGACTGTCCCGAGCAGCATCGATTAACTTTTTTTCTCTCGGCAGATGCACATACAGATCTGCTTTGAAAGCTGTCGTATCGTCCCCTTCATGATGGAAAAGTGCAGCGTAGATGAGGAATTTCTTCTGTAGTTGGAGCACTACACGTTCTGTGCCAATCAAAGAAACTTAAAGCTGCCGCTCATACCATGAACGCTTTGCACTGACCGAACCTTTGCCAGACTGCTACTTGCCACGCAATAGAATATCAAATCAGTCATACGCTCCTTCGCATCCTCAACAAAACATCGTTGTCTCCGCTTCCGTCAGGTTGCAACGTAACAGACCAGTCCGAATATTTCATGGATCCCTTCCCAGAAGAAACATGCTCTTGACAGGAAGAAGTTGTCCCACAACCCATCTCATTCCTCCATCTGTTTTGATCCCCATCGCATTCTTTCTGGATCACTTGTTGGAGGGTTCCCAACAATACCTGAAATCCTGTCACCAAGACCGAGGTTATCCCTTTCGATCGCATAGACATATGCAATTGTTCATTTACCGTGTGTGTCCCTTTAGTTCCAACAGTAGCACTTCAAGGTCAATGTGTGACTGATCCTG